TGCAATGTGAACTACCGCATGGAGTGCGCATGGGGGAAGTTCCATTCGCAGAAGGAAGTCCTTTTGAACAGATCTATATCTTTGCGCCTTCGTTTGAAGCTTTCCGACGCGATTGTTACGCCCGCGGCTGTTTACGGTCTTTCGACAACAGCCATGACAGCGCAGCAGCGGGCGCGAGTTGTATCGACGCGCTCAAAAATGCTCCGCCGGATAGTTGGTCTCAGCAAGCTTCCCCATGAAAGTTGGGAGGGGGCGGGGCGACGCACCAAGCAGAAAGTGACCGGTGTTTTGAAGATTTTTCCTGTGTCGAACTGGCTTGTCGTGTTGGATCGCTCAATGTGGCGCCTCGTGGCGCGACTCGCCACCGGCGGTTCGCGGGAATGGCCGGCGCAAGTTCTACGGTGGCGTCCGGGCGGCATCAGACGCCGAGGGCGGCCGCGTCGAAGATGGACAGATGCCGTCGATTCATTTCTGCGACAAGAGCACGGCACGAATTTAATGAATGTGATTCGCAGCCAGGAGCCTTTCCCTTGGCAGCGGATGGACAAGCATTTCTAGATTTCATGAAGAGCGACTGATGTATCCTACTATGTATAATTTATTGCTGCCTTGTCCACTACGTTTCTCTTACATGCGCGTTTTGTTGCCGTCGTGAGGTGCCTCCATAGGCCCCTCGACCGGACTTGACTTGACTTGACTTGACCCGAAGGAAGCAGCCTATATCCCCATCTTGGGGGGGTAAATTGGCCAGTGGGGCCCAGCCCACGTTTGGGGATGGGGATCGGTCAAACGATACTCATCTTGGGGCATCATGGGGGCTATCTCAGGCTGTTGCAAAGGCCTGACGGCCAGCTCCACCGACCCTGAGAAGTGAACAGTGACGGCTTGACTTGCGAGGGCGAACATCTAATCGTCCTCGGCTCATCCCGCCAATGCGCCTTGGGCCGTGGTCCAGGGCCCATTGGAAACCTTTTGGAGGATCTTTGGGGGCCAATTTGGGGGTCTCCCAAGGGGCCCTTGTGGCCCACTCGGGTTCGTCCTCGGGCCTCTTGAGGTCTCTCGTCGGCCTCTCGGAGGTTGTGGGAGTCTGTTTGAGGGCTGGCTTCAGCCGTGCGGCACTGGCGTGCTCCGTGGCCCCTTCTGGGGGGCCTCTTGCGCCATCTCGAGCCGGTTCTTGGGGAGGGGGGTTCTTGGGCCGCCTTGGCCGCCCTTGCGACCGATGCAGGGCTCGTTTCGATTCTTCCGATTCGATTCGATTCGATTCGATTTCGATTGCTTCCGATTCCGATTCGATCCGACTTGGGATTCCGATTTGGGTTCCGATTTCTGATTTGGAAGCATGCCAGCCTGCCGATTTTTGCCGATTCGACTTTTCCCAACTCGGATGCCGATTCCCGCCGATCCGATTCACTTCGATCTCCGACTTATCGATTCGATTCTGGGCTCTCCTGCCGATGCGGCGAGAATGCCGAGGCCGCGCACAGCTGGAAGGGAGCCGGCCGGTGATTCTGGCCTCTGTGGGCGGGCCCCCGAGACCTCTCAGAGACGGCCCGCCAGACGTGCCCAGAGTGCCGGGCCGGCCCCCAGAGGGCTCTCGCGGGCTCTGGTGGCCCAGGAGGAGGCGAGGACGCCGTGCATCCACGAAGGGCGCACGGGGGCAGAGAGCGCACCCAAAAAGCTGCCGAAGCCGCAGCTGGTGCCTCGAGGATGCGGAGCAGGAGGAGGGAGGAGAGAGGGGGTGGGCAGACAATTGTTCAGATGCTCACGGTGTTCGAGTCCTGGGGCCTGCCGCTTACCTATCCCCGCTCGTGAGCCCTCTTGGGCTGCTCCTGGAGCCCTCTTGGGGACCTCTTGTGGGATCTCGTGGCTCTCTATTTTGGGCTCTTTCGGTCCTTGGAGTCCTCTTGGGGCCACCTCGGAGCTTGAGACGTCCACCGGATAACGCAAGTGCAAACACGCCATGAACATGAACACCGATTGTTTCAAAACTGTTTGAGCTTCTCGGATACCTCCGATGAGAGGTTCTTCTGACACATTGAATCATACGTACAAAGAACCAGACTGTCTTGGGTCAGCTTGTGCCACTTAGGGCAATCTTGGTGCCATTTTGAGGACTTATAGGCCAACCTTGGATTCCACTTGTGGCTTGTCACCCGCTGGCCCACGTTCTTGGGCTGCTTTGGGGGCTTTGTGTGGGTCCCTTGTTACTCTATTAGGGCCCTCTTGCGGGGTCTTGGGCGCTCTCAGAGCTCGCTTGGGGCACTCTTGAGGCCACCTCGGCGCCCGAGAAATAGCCCGCCAGGGCGATTCGCCAAAGGCAGCATCTTTCTCGTTGACCTGGTCCTGGGGACCTCCGAGGGTTGCAACATCGGCCATCTTGAGGTGGGTTTGCAGTCCATTGTGCTGTCTTGGGTTATCTTGGGCTGGGGGCCGCCATCACCCCGTCTTGTGGCGTTGGCCCGCGCTCTTGGACCACTCTTTGCAGTCCCTGGGCCCTGTGGGATCCCGTTCAGGGCCTTCTTGGGGAGTCTTGGAGGTCTCTCAGGGTTCGTGGGGCCACTTGGGTACCCGATAGGCTCGTGGAACGCCCATTTTCGCAAACTTGCATGTTTCGTTCGATGCCTTGGGCATTCTTGTGAGCCTCCTAGTAGATCTGGGGCCGTGCTGAAGTCCGTAAGGGTAGCTTGGATCATCCTGGGCCATCTCGTGGCCATCTTGGCAGCATGCTGGGGACGCCTTGGGGCCACCTTGGGGCCAGCATGAGGCCTGACACCCATGTGTGCCCGCGTTCTTGTGTATGGGGGCTGTCGCCCGCTGTCGGGGCGACTTGGGCGCCAGTTCGGCCCGCAGGGACCTGCCCGGATGGCGCCCTCGCGCGCGCGGACTGCAAAATAACAACTGCCTTTTACATGATGTTTTTCTGCTAGCAGGGTCTAACGCGCCGTTGGCCCAATGGGTGGGCGAATTTCCAGGCGAGTTGCCGTGAGAAGGGAAGTGGAGGGACAGTGTCGACTGGACGTAAGAGTGACCTTTCGCCGGAGTGACCTTTGGTGCGGGCCCAATGCTGTGACCCGATGAGCGCGAAGTGGTAGCATCGGCCTGCTCGCCCAGGTTTAGTCACCAGGCGTCCCCCGTTAAGCTGCGCACCAAGGGTCACTCTTGCCTAGGGTCACTCTTGCGTGTAGCCGACTGGTGAAGCAAACGGGGTGGACACGAGTCAAGCCGAAGCTGGGATCGTCCCGAGGACCCCCCAACGATGGCCAACCTGGAGACCCCTGGGAGCCTCTGAGAGGCCTTGTGGACAGTCATAGGGGGTCCCCAAAGGGCGCTTTTGGGGCTTTGGGCTCTGTTGGAACCGTTTTGGGGGCCTTCGGGCCCTTTCTTGGCCATGCCAGAGGAAAGTGGGGCCCTTAATCGGTATCGCCATGCGGAGCCAGAATCATTTGCTTCTTGTGACTCTCTGGGGGGCAATCATGCCCTCATGGGGCCATGTTGGGGACCACTGATCCAAAGGGGAGCCCCCTGAATTGGCATTGCCTTATGGAGCCAGAGCAGTTTGCCTCCTGGGACTTTCTTTGGGGCCTTTCGTCTCTCTTGGGGGCCCCTCTAGGCATCGTTGGAGCCCTCCATGGCCCCATCTTTGGGCCATCCTGAAGCCGCAGAGGCCCATCGGCAGGCATAAAGGCGAAAAGGCAACAACCATATTCGCCAGCGTGGCCCCCGAACTGTAATCATTGCATTTTGGATGTAAGCGATGTGCTGCAAGCTATGTGATGTGAGCTATGTGGTAAGCTGGAGGTGGCCACGAGGCCGCCACCGGCGGCAACGTGATGAAACCTCGCCAGACCCACCCTTCGCACGAGGCGGCCACGAGGCGGCCACGGGCGGCATCGTGGCGAAACCTGGCCAGACCCACCCAGCGCACGAGGCGGCCACGAGGCGGCCACGGGCGGCAAAGTGGCGTGAGACTCCTCGCCAGAGGCGGCCACTGGGCGGCCCTCGGGGCGGCAGCGTGACGAAAAACCTGGCCGGACCCTCTCAGCGGATGGGGCGGCTACGGGGCGACCACGGGCGGTAGCGTGGGCGAAACCTGGCGGGATGGCGCACGAGGCGGTTACCGGGGCGGCCACGGGGCGCCAATGTGGCGCACTATCGCCAGGCCCATCCAGCGCACGAGGCGGCCTCGAGGGGGATTCACGGGCGGCGGCGCGGGACGTCCTCGCCGTGCCCGGCCGGTGCGTGGGCAGGGGAAGCGAGGACCCATGAGTGCACGCACGCCTCGGGGGTGTGACAACGATGCGTTTTTGTTGGTTTTGGCCCAGTGCGGGCATCCTTGGAGCTATTGCTGAGGCCACCTGGGCCAACCTGTGCCAGCTTGAGTCATTTGGGGGGCCATGCTTGGGCTACTCAGGGCCTCGTTGGGACAACCGTAGGGTCCTCTTGTGCGCACTCACTGCCGTCGCCCCCCCTGTCCAGATCCCCATGGAGGGGCTTCCAAATGGGACGAAGGGGTTGCACTTTGCATAATTTAGCCGCTGAGAAACCTACAAAGGGCTGGCCTCCGTTGCTGGCTACCTCTGGGACCCCTTATGGTGCATCCTTCTGGCCTCCGACTGGGAGGAACCCTGGGCCCGAATGAGTTCCGTTCCGCCATGCGGCCCATCTCGCGAACGGATCTACAGGTGGCGGCACACGGGAAGGGGGCGTGGAGCGCAGTGATGGAGCAACTGGAGGGGAGGGGTGGGTCGGGGACGGGCGGGAGGGAGGTGGAGGCACGGCGTCCTGTGTGAGTGGTGTCCACGCGTAAGGAGTCGCTACCTTTTCGTGTTGCCAGCGCGCGCGCGCGTGCATATAATTTTGTTCGTTATGCCACGCCACTCCTACTCTTCTCCTGCCTCGCCCGCCTCGTCTGTCTCCTTGTTATGCCCGTCCGCTTCAGAGTTCCCATGCCTCTTGAAGGCTTCTCGCGCTCCCTTCCTGACATCCATGCCCTCTCGCAGGGAACCCGCGAGTATCGCATCAACCACGACGGCTTTGTCTCCGGGGAGCGCTTGGGAAGCGTGCCGTAGCTTGCAGCTTGGGGTCAAGGCATGAGCCAATCGCCGCCCGCGTGGTCAGGCATCAGACTCGGTCGGACGCCAGGTGGGGAGAGTCACCTCCTCGCCCCGGTCACGTCGATCGGGGGTGTGCTCTGGTCAGAGCCGTGTGCTCGCCTGAGGCTCCCCTCGAGGTGGGGAGAGGCCCCGCGAAGCACTGGGGGAGCAGCACATCGATATCCCTGCACTGGGGGAGCAGCACTGGGGGAGCAGCGCACGGGCGGGGGGAGCAGCACTGGGGTGCGTCTGTCAGTGGGGCCACGGTCACGCCATTGGGGATGGGAGTAAGGTAAACCGACGCCCAGAGACCTGGAGGAGAAGGAGAAGGAGGAGGAGGCGGAGGAGGAGGCGGAGGCGGAGGCGGAAGCAGAGGAGGAGGAGGAGGAGGAGGAGGAGGAGGAGGAGGAGGAGGAGAGGAGGAGGAGGAGGAGGAGGAGGAGGAGGAGGAGGAGGAGGAGGAGGAGGGAGGAGGAGGAGGAGGAGGAGGAGGAGGGAGGAGGAGGAGGAGGAGGGGAGGAGGAGAGGAGGAGGAGGAGGAGGAGGATGAGGAGGAGGAGAGGAGGAGGAGGAGGAGGATGAGGAGGGAGGAGGAGGAGAGGGAGGAGGAGGATGAGGAGGAGGAGGAGGGGAGGAGGAGGGAGGAGGAGGAGGAGGAGGAGGAGGAGGAGGAGGAGGAGGAGGAGGCTGCGCACGCTGGGCACGGGCCGCGGCTGCGCAGGCCACGGAGGTTTTCTGCAAGGCGGCGCTGCACGCGCCGCGCGGCAGCCAGGCGGAGGAGCGGGCCTGGAAGCTCCTGCTGCTCCGCGAGAGGCTCCTTTTTTCTGGCGCCGCTGAAGCGCGGCACAGGCGGCAGGTGCCTGCCGGGGAACGAGCCGTCCGCGCGGGCCGGGCTGATTCGCCAGCGGTGTTCTCGACTCCACGAGGGCGCCTGGGAGGACCTGCTGGCGGAGGCGCGGCAGACTGCGCGGAGCCTAACGCGCGCGCGGGGAGGCCGCTGGGGAGCGCCAGGACGCCGAGAATCACTTCGCAGACGCGGTAATTCGGAAGGCGCTGGCCGAGGAATACTCCCGGGCGGCCGCGTTCCTCGCGAACCCTGGACTGGCGCCCCCCACGCCCGAGACGGCGGCGGCGCTCCAGGATCTGCTCGAGCCGCGCGGAGCGCCTGCCCTCGAGCCCAGGGCCCGCGGCGGGCCCGCGGCCGCCTCGCCCCTGTCGCACCTGGAACTGCGACGGGCGCTTCGGAGGAGCCCGAGGGGAGCGGGGCTGCCGTGGGCGGGGGCCGCTTCGAACACTGGCGGGTGTTGCTGGCGGAGCCAGCCGCCCTGGAAACCTTCTGCCAAGTTTGCGACCGGCTTGCCACGGGGGACCTGCCTGCTGGCGCCGCGGACGCGCTCGCCCTGTCCCGGGTGACGCCGCTCAGCAAGCCGTGCGGCGGGGTGCGACCCATCGCCGCGCCCCCTCCGCCGCTTGGTAGGGGGGGCGCTGGTCTCGCCGCGGAAGGAAGACCTTGCAGCCGCGCTCGGCCGGCACCAGTTCGCCATCGGCACAAAAGGTTGGCGCCGAACTGCTGGCGCACACAGTCCGTGCGCTCACGGAGGCCAGCCCAGACCCGGTCTTGGTGGCGCTGGACGAGAAGAACGCCTACGGGACCGGACGCCGCGAAGCTTGCCTGGACGAGCTGGAGGCCACAGCGCTGGGGCTCCTCCCTTTGCGAACCATTTTTGCCGTCGCCGTTCTCAGTATTACTTCTGGGACTCGGGCGGGACCTGCCACCGCCTGGGCTCCGCGGGCGGCGTTGACCATGGGGACCCGCTGGCTCCCTTGCTCTTCGCCTGCGGCCTCCGCTCCTCCTTGCAGGCGCTCAAGGGCGCGCTGAAAGGCGCGGGCGGCAGACTGCGGCCTGCGGGCAGACGACGGCCGCGTGCTGGCTTATACCTGGACGACGTGGTCGTCCTTGTGCCGTCCCCCCTGGCTGGCGAGGTCGAGGCGGCCGCGGAGACGACGCTGGGGCGCCTAGGGCTGGAGCTGCAGCAGCGGCAGACACAGGTTTGGTCCGCCCGCGCGGCCTGCCCGCCTGTCCCGGAGGGGCGCCGGCGCGCAGACGGCATCACGCTGCTGGGCGCCCCGCTTGGCGAGCCGCTTCCACAGGGCGGCGTGCCCGACGAGAGAGACGCGCGCCGGCTCGAACTAGGCGGCGCAGGCTTTACGGCCGCGCGCGGCGGGGAGATTGCGGAGAGGGCGGCGGCGCTGCTCTGGAGGCTCGCTGAACTGCCCGCGCTGGCCTCGCCGCGCCTGCTGGCAGCGCAGGCTGCAGCGCTCCTGCTGCGTCTCTGCGGCACGGGCAAGCTCACCCACCAGCTGCGCACCTGCCGGCCAGCCGACGCCCGGGCCGCCGCCGCCGCTTTTGACGGCGCCGCGCTGGAGGCCTACCAGGAACTCGCGCGCCTCGACCCCCGGCAGGAGCAGCAGGCTTGCTGGGCGCAGAACCTGCGGTCCCCCCAGATCGTTCCCCCTCAGGGTAGGGGAGGTGGAGGAGAATATCATTCGGCGGCACGCCCAGAAGGAAGGCCGAGGGGCGGGCCTTCTCAGAAGCCTCAGCAGTCCTCCGGCCTTCCGAGAAGCTTTTTAAGTTTTCTCCGAAAGCACAGAGCCCCCCGATGCCTTCCGAGAAGGCCTGCCCCCTCTCGCTTCTCTTCAGGGCACGCCGCCGAATCATGTCGCAGAGGAAGCGGAGAGGAGTCAAGGGAGGAGAAACCACCCCGACCCCCCATAATTGGCGTTTGCGAAACGGCCCTGGGTGTTGACTGAACAACCCTGCCCTGCTCGATTCCTTCCCCGGGGATTTCATTGAGCGTTTTTTTTGTTGTTGTTTGTTTCTTGTTCTCTCTCTCTCTCTCTCTTTTTTCTTCCCTTTCCAGGGAGGGGGGAGGGGAGCCGCTCCTGCTCGGTGCTGCCCTCCTCCTCCTCCTCCTCCTCCTCCTCCTCCTCCTCCTCCTCCTCTTCCTCCTCCTCCTCCTCTCCTCCTCCTCCTCCTCCTCCTCCTCCTCCTCCTCCTGCCCTTCTTCTTCTCCTCCTCCTCCTCCTCCTCCTCCCCCCTCCTCCTCCTCCTCCCGCTCTGGCCGGCGGCGGCTGGGGGAGAGCAAGGCCGCGAGCGATCGCGGGCCGCCCGCGGCGAGCAGGGCCCCCAGGGTGCGCCCCGGCCAGCGGTGCGGAAAAAAGTTTCGGCCCTGCTGCTGCGATCCTCGGCCTCGCCCTCCTCCTCCTCTCCTCCTCCTCCTTCTCCTCCCTCCTCGTCCCCTCCTCCTCTTCTCCTCCTCCTCCTCCCTCCTCCTCTCCTCCTCCTCCTCCCTCCCACTCCTCCTCCTCCTCTTCCACCCTCTCCTCCTCCCCCTCCTCCTCTCTCCTCCTCCTCCTCCTCCTCCTCCTCCTCCTCTCCTCCTCCTCCTCCTCCTCCTCCCTCTCCTCTCCCTCCTCCTCCTCCTCCTCCTTTCCTCCTCCTCCGGCATCCCCGTTGGCACTCAGCTGCTGCTGCTGCTGCCGATCCTCGGTCTCCTCCTCCTGCTGATGTTCCTGCCCTTGCCCTCCGCCCCCGGGTTGCTCCGTGGCCATTTTGGCCCAGGCTGGCTCCAAGGGTCGGCGGGGCGAGCGATGGCGCGACGGGAGGGCGTGGGCGTTGCCCGTCTAGGGCGCTCCACGGAGAAGCGCAGGGCAGCGCGTGGGCGGCGGCACTCGGCGGATCGCGCCGTCCTCAAGCTCCCGGACGAGATCGGGCGTCTTCGCGGGCGTTTGTCCGCCGCGGAGGGGGCGCTCGACGCGGTCGCCAACAGCAGCGAGGCGGAGCAGCGCCTGCGGGCGATCGTCCCAGCGCTGCGGGCCAAGCTGGCGGGCCGCGCAGCCGTGGCCGGACGTGCTGCGGCGGAACGCCGCCAGGCAGGCCGGTGCGAGCGGCATGGACGTGTCGTGTCCGTGGCGGGATCGGTGACATTCCAGAAGGTCCAGCGCGGAGCACGGTTCGAGGCTCGGATGGCGGCGGACGTGGTCGACATTTGCGTCGCCTAGGCTCCTGGACGATGCATTCGTGCCCTCGGAAATGGCGGGGCTGTGGGAGGTCTGCGAGCCGTCGGCGCAGCCGCATGACCGCGTGGACTTGTGCTCTTGGCAGATCTCCTGGCGGTTCCCGAGCGGTCCATAGTGAAGGTGACCACGGAGTACGAGCGGTCCTACACATGCAGGAGCAGGGATCCATATGCGACATCCGCACGAACCTCGCGCAGGCGCTGGATCAGCACCGTGCCGATGGCGAGGACCTGTCTTTCTGGCGGGTCCGCGGCATCGTGTAGCAGGTGGTGATGGATCAGCACCTGGTCAAGAACGGGGGGCTGTTTGCGGAGTCGCCCGAGGTGAGCGAGTGCCGCGATGGGCCGCTGGACTGGAGATGCGCTCAAGATTGGGACGCAGCCGAGGCTGCGTCCGACGGGGTCTTGGAACACCAGCTGGAGGAGCTTCGGAGCGACGCCATCCAGCGGGGCAGGGAATGCTCCGAATGCCCTCTCAGAGGCACTCGCTGGTCTTCGAGGTCGTGCAGCCTTTGTCTGGGATGCTTTTGACTGAGATTGCCACTCGTGTGGCGGCGAGTCTTTTCGAGCAGGGCGATGCGTTCGTCGGCGGACCAGGCCCCGCCTGCGAGTGGCGAAGGAAAATTCAAAAATAGTAACAAAAATTGTCTGGGGACGATGTTTACAGTATTTCCTGATTATTTTCGAATATTTTTTGAGTATTTCTAATTTTCGTCCAAACCCCCCCTGCAGGGGGACAGGCCCGACCTGAATGCAGCGCTGGTCCGAGCACGGTCCGCTGGCCTCGGAGGTGGGCGCGGCGCCCCCAGTGGCAGCCCCGCGAGGGGCATCGCTGAGGTGCCCGCTACCTGCTGTGGTGGCATTGCACCAGAGAAAAAACCCA